TCAGAATATGACTGTCTTAGTTACTTTTCTCTCATTGCTGGGACAAAATATCTGACATCCAAAATAAAGAGGGAAAGATTTATTTAGCTCACAATTTGTGGAAGTTTCAGGCTATAATCAGCTAGGTTCCAAGGCAAAATGGCACATGGCAGAGGGCAACAGTTCATGGCGGCAGAAAACAACAAAGCAACGAGAGCAAAAGGGAAGAGTGGCAGCAAGCAGCCTCTTTCCCTTCCTTATATTGTAAGCAGGCTACCCCAACCCAGGGTGTAGCACTCACATAATCTCCATGCCTTCCTCTTGCACAGGCTCAGGATGAATACAAAGTAAGCACCCTGGCTTCCTGCTGAATCACATAGTTAACCTTCTAAACTTCTCAAATTGACACAATGAACAGCATCCCCGAAGGGTAAGGGCACGTCCTTTTCACCCCAGGATGCAGAACTGATGACTCACTTAGCCAAACCTCTAGACTCCCCAAGTTGACACAGTGTATCAACCATAAGAATGGCTATATCTGGAGATGGGGCTATTAAGGGTGTTAAATTAAAATAAGGCCCTTAGGGTGATCCTCAATCCCATCTCACTGGTGCCCTTGTAAAGAAGAGGACCCTTGGATACGCAGACGCAGCAGGGTGTGAGGACACAGTGGCATCTGAAAGTAAAGGAAAGGAGTTGGAGAAGAAACCGAATCTGGTGAGAAGTTCTAGTGCGCTCGTGCACACTAGGGGGATTTTGGATTAGGATAAGGGTCTGTGCCTTTCAGACAGCTACAGCATGGTTCCCAAGCACTGAGTCCACAGACCGGTATCCATCCATCCCTTAGGAACTGGACCACACAGCAGGAGGTGAGCAGCAGGTGAGCGGGCTAAGCTTCACCTGTATTTACAGCTGCTTCCCATCACCGCCGGCACCCCTGAGCTCTGTCTCCCGCCAAGCACGGTGGCCTTAGATTTTCCCACTGTGAATTATGTGTCCTGCATTCGAAGGATCAGGTTGCACGACCCACCTTTCCCCGTCTGTAGAAAAATAGCCTTCCGTGAAATTGATCTCTGGTGTCAAAAATGCTGGGGACTGCTGAGCTAGAGGAAAGGACTTTGAATGTTTTCACCATAAGAAATTATAAATGTTAATCCAGGGGTGGTGGTGCATGTCTGTAGTCCCTGCACTCTGAGAGGCAAGGCAGGAGAATTACAAATTCAAGTCCCAACTGCAACTGAACAAGATCCTGTCTCAAAGTAGAAAACAAAAAGAGTTGGGGATGTAGTTCAGTGCAAAGGCCCTGGGTTTAATCTCTAGTACAATAAAAAAGAAAGTTTGGGAAATGCATATATATTTAAACTAATTTAAACTTTACACAATATATGTATTGAAGCATCACATGGTACCCTATTAATGTATACAATTCTTATGCATCAGATAAAAGAAATCTAATTTAAATTTTAAAAAGAAAGAAACCAAATCTGCTGCCACCTTGATCTTGGATTTGCAGAACTGTGAGACATACATATCCATTTTGGGGGCTGAGGGTGTAGCTCAGTGGTAGAGTCCTTGCGTAGCATGCGCAAGAAAGACCCTGGGTTTGATCTTCAGCACCAAAAACTGGCTTAAGTCGCACAGTCTGCAGCACTTTGTTCTGTCAGCTGGAAGAGACTGTTATCAGATTACATTACATTACATTGGATTGGACATTACACATTACATTGGATTGACAATATTTAGCTTCTTTGAGAGAAGGAACAGTTACATGTGGCCCCGTGGTACCCGGAGCTCTAGAAGGGCACCTAACCCTTGGAACTGAGAATATAGTATCACCTCATGTCCATCACTATGTTGCCTTGTGTAGCAATCAGGATCTTTGAAAATGTAATTAAGCCTTTGAATCAGTTGTTTTGAGTTTGTCAAGATGGAGATTCATTTAATCACATCACCCTTTTACAAGCAGTGTTTTCTCTGACTGGTCTCAGAAGAGGAAATCAGAGATATTACATCTGGGTATGAAAGAGAGGCTTGCCATCCTTGGGGGGAAGGGGTCACAGGATCAGGACCCTGCAGTGCCTTCTAGTCTCTGAGAGTGGTCCCCAGCTACGAGCGGGGCAATGGGGATCTCAAGCGATGACCACAGGGGACTGAACTCTTTGCACTAATAAATGACTATTATTTTAAACTACTAAGTGTGTGGTAATTTATTCTGCAGCTATAGAATATCAATACTGGTGCTTTGTACCTGGTAGGTTGAATTAGTTACACCTTATATTTAGCTTTAAAAATTAAGATACAATTAAAGTTCTCTGAAAAGTATACAGATTGTAAGTGTACACTTTGATTTCTCTCTTTCTCCTTCTCTCTTTTGTGCTGTGGGTTGAACCCAGGGCCTCACACATACTAGCAAGTGCTTGACCATTGAGCTATAACCCCAGGCCTTAGAATTTGATTTTTGGTAAACGTGTACATCCATGGAATCACCACGTGAATTGTGATGTTGAATGTTTCCATCCCCCCAAATTCCTTTGAGTACCTATAGAGTCAACCCTATTCCCACTCTGGGGGGAGTTTTTTAGCACCACTATTTAGAATTGCTTATTCTTGGTCTTCATTTAAATGCTATCATATAGTCTATGTGCCCTTGTGTCTGTGCTTCATACATGATAGTTTAAGTTCTTTTTTTCTTTTTTTAAAGACTGAGTCCTGCTATGCTGCCTTGGATGGCCTTAAACTCTTGGGCCCAGCAATATTCATCCATTTTGTCTAGCAAGTAGTTTAAGCCCTTTCACTGCAGGTTCATATTCTATCCTGTGGGTGTACACCACAATTTGTTTATCGATTCACCTGCCAATGGACATCTGAATTATGTCTATTTTTTGGTTATGAATAATGGTGCTATAAACATTCATGTATGACTCTTCATGTGGATATATGTTTTAATTTCTCTTGGGTAAGTAGGAGTGGGATTGCTAGATTATAGAAGTGTATCTTTAATTTTGTAAGATAACCATCAAACTCTTTTTAACGAGGTTTTACATTTACTAAAGGTAGAAGAAGACCTCTGCAGGGTGAAAGCAGGCCGCTGAAACCAGAGGGAACACAGAGACCTGCCAGGCTGTTTTATAGAGTGCTTGTCCCATTTTATATTACCGTCAGCAATATATGAGAGTACTGGTTATTCCCTACCTTACAACACTTGCTGTTGTCTTTTATTTCTTCTAATTTTTTTTTTTTTGTCTTTTTGAGACAGGGTCTCACTATGCAGTTCAGGCTGGCCTTGAGCTCACTTTGTAGCCCAGGCTGGCCTCGAACTCACAACGATCCTCCGCCTCAGCCTCCCGAGTGCTGGGATTACAGGTGTGCGCCACCCTGCCTGGGCTTGTCAGTCTTTTAAAGTTTAGCCATTTGCCAACAATTTCTTCTTGAGTACCTCTCTGCGGCTTGCGGAATAGATTAGTTATCTCATGCCTGTCACATTGAAAGTTCTTCCAACTACGTTTCATTTTTTCAACATTACCTGTGCTTCAGGTCACAGTTTCCTAACAGCTGGCTCCAAAGCAGGAAGACAGAAATGAGGGGAAGAGCTGCTCTTCTCCTGGCAGCCAGGAAGCAGAGAGGGAATGAAAGAGCCGGAAAGGAAGAGGCCAGGACAACATGTAATCCTCAAAGCCATGCTCCTAAGGACCTGCTTTATCCAATTACACATCCCCCCCATAAACCCATTCAGCCCCTGGAATTACTTATATACACAAATCCACTTGAAGTTAGAGCCTTCAAGACCCGATCACGTTTCCAAAGGCCCCACCCACCTCTGAACACCTGAGTCTTTGGGGGACATTTTAGATCAGTGATGGCAAATATGTTGGAGACAAGCACCCACTTACTTGGTGAAGTTAGGTTTGTGGGAATGGAGAGAACAACAAAACTGAGAGATGTTAGAATCCACGTGGTTTGATGATAAACTGTATTGAATCTGAAAAGAACAGGGCAAGGGCTGGGGAATTCTGGGGGAGTCGCTCAGGGAAATGAATGAGCCGAGGGACACAGCCATTTGAATGAGTAGTTTAGACTATTTTTGGGTGTGGGTGCCGGAGTTCTGGGAAGGAGTAGGAAGAGGAGGAAAGAGCCAACTGCAGAGAGGTCTTTGAAGCTGAGGAGAGAGCGGGCTGGAGGGAGACATGTGTGGTCTGGGGCCCAGCTCCTAAGTAAGGAAGGAATACTGAGGATGCAGGAAGAATGTCCTACAAAGAAAAGTTACCTGTGGACTTAGATGATGTAGAAGCATGAAAACACCTCTGAACTTGATCAAGAGATAGAGACCTATTTTGTTTGTTTGTTTTTGCTCCTTCCAGCGTCTTGGGTATGCAGACATAGGGGATGAGGGGAGGAAGAGACAGCAGGCATATTTTGTTTTTTTTTTGTTTTTCTTCCGGTACCGGGAATTGAACTCACGACCTTGCACTTGCCAGGCAGGTGCTGTGCCGCTGAGCTAAATCCCCAGCCCCAGCACGCATATTTCAGTTGCTTGCAAGAGAAAAAAATGAGGTAATGGGTTAATAACTAGTGGGATAATTAGTGGGATAAGTGAAAGTTATTCAGGTTAAGAGGGCAGAAAAAAGGCATTGGTAAGGAGGAGGGCATGGGATGGCGGTGCTGGAGATGCTGTAGGACACTCCGTGGAGATGTTTGGAGGGGCCGCTGTGTCGCTACCTCTGTTCACTAGAGTCACTTATGTGGGAAGGGTTTTTGCCCCTCATGAAGAGGCTAAGAAATCTTTCACTTTTTAAATCATCTTCTTTCCCAGAGGAAGATAAGCAGGTCCTTCCTATAGCTTGCTCCCAGCTATACTCACTTCGAAAGCGGATGAGCAAATGTATTTAGCTAGTTCTCTAATCTCTAGCTCCACATCTGCAGATTTCAAAATAGGCTTACTTTGGCTCCTCGTGGAGCAACTTTTTCTTTTCTCTGTAAAGAAAAAGACACTGTCTAACACAGTATTAAGGCGAAGCAACATATTGATGTCTGGTATATAATTTTTATTATAAATATAGAGCAAATTTTACAAACAATCAGAAGTGGCTTTAGCCAGGCAAAATTAAATAACCCAGCACAGCATGGATGAGGGAAAATACATACAATCTGTGTCAGGGCTAGAAATCCCTGGAAGAGGTACCTGAGTAGGAGAACTCCCACTGAATTCTCTCAGAGGAGGCCCGTGAGGCATAGCGTGAGATCCATCAGTTAATATCAAATAAAGTCTTTCTCTTTACGGCCCCAAAGACATAGTATCTGTGTAGCAAAAGGCAGCATGAGAGGTACATTCGCCTTGCCTTCTCACCTCGGGACTCATAGACCCCCACGGGAGAAAAGGTAAGTCTCAGAGGCTGATCGGAGAACCCAGGTGGGGTCATCCTCATGTCCTCACACCCTCTTGCAGCCCTCATTCCCAAGGGGCATCAGCACCGGTGCAGCTTCCCAGGTTGTAAACAAAGCCATCAGCAGGAGCCTATTTTTTCCTTTTAGGGCGCTCCCACTTTGCAAGGATCAAACACACCCTCGCAGAGGCCAAGGATTCCTGAGACATTAGGGCAGACAAGTAGAAAAGCACAGGCAGAAACGTGGGCCGAAAGGGCAGCTGGTGACTGATCTGACATGGCTAGAAGCTAAGCCAGGCCCATTTCTCACACGAACGAGGAAAACCTCTTCTTATTTTTTATTTGAAGCCTTGGACAAAAAAGCCTTTCAGAGGCTCCTGGCCGAGGGGGCCTGAGGGATTTTGGTGGCTTCCTATATACCAAGGCTATCAGATCAGCTGACACAGCTAAGTAAAAATAACTCTTTTCGTAGAAGTAAGCAGTTAGAAAAATTAACATGGCGGAATGTCTCAGAAAAGGGGAAAAACCACATGCCTTCAGCTGTGCATTCTTTGACAATAATTTTAAATAATGAACGAAGGATAACTCGCTGTTCTTTTCCCGTTTCCAGCAGATTGCGTTTCTTCAGAGTTGAGTTCCCCCACAAAGCTGTAGTCTCTCTCTTGCCAGGCATTTCCTTGAACAAAGCCCTCACAGGTATTAAAGATGTATGTGCACTTTTGCATTTTCTATTGGGAATTGCCTGTGGACATTGGCAAATCATTTCCGTAGTTTCTAGTGGATTCTCTGAGACGGGCTTGCCAGAGGGATTAGGGGGTGTCCTAGCTAAGCAGCAGGATGTTTAGACCCCACCACAGTAGACAAAAGTATAGAATTTCTCAGTGCACCATTGGTTACATATTTGATTTTCTTGAATGTGGTGGGTTTCCCATCCGGGTTTGGAGAGAAAGGAAAAGCCATTATTGATTTTACTTTCTCTCTTTCTCTCTCTTTTTTCTGGCATGTGCACTTAAGTGGAAAAGGAAATAGCCCTCAAAAGATGGCAAATTCAAGTTATTGTCTGATAGGACAGGGCTGGGATGGGAAGAAACGAGTATGCTCTGAATAAATAACTTTAGAACAGATCTAGGCTGAGCAAAAGGGAAGGGTAGGGAAGTTCTGGCAACTCTCTCCCAAAATTGGCTTTGCCAGTTCTCAATGACAAGGAAGGTTAGGTTTCCCACAGACTCCCCGGATGTACCTTTTCATTTATTGACACTGGCAGAAGGCGGTGCAGCCTGGAGGCGCTGTATGAGGGAGGGCAGAGGGAGGGGGACTTGTTTCCTTTTCCTCTGGGTGAGAGCTGTGCAGTACATCAGCAGTGCTGTGACAGGGCAGGTTGAGTTACTTCTTTTTTACTTCTGAATAAACTGTTTCTGGTACTGTGGAGAACGCGGAGTCTGAAGTTGATTGCTTTGGTTGGACGGTATTGAAATTCAGGGAAGAATATGCAATTTCATCCACCTGTAAAGGACAAGCATCCATCAATTAAATTACTATCACAGGCCAGAACCTCAGCGTGGCTGGTGTGAGTCAACACCACTATGCCGTCGCCTCTTTGAAACATTTAGCTTGGGAAAGGGCTTATTCTCTGCTTGCTAACATGGTGACGAATGGCCCTTCCAAGAGATAAAGTATGGCGATGCTGTGACACAATGCAATATGATAATACAGCAGTGAGGGTGAACAAATCACAAACATACACAACACGCGCGAATCTCACAAAACAACGCTGGCTGATAGACAGAGGCATATAAGGGTGTGCTGTCAGGATAGTGGTCATGACTTGTAGGGAAGTGACTGGCAGGTTTTTTTGGGAGGTAGACATATAGTGTCCCAAATGGGGTGCTGTTTTCATGAGTGTGTTTGTCCTGTGAAAGTTTGCACCCTGTAAAAGTATACTTAAGATGTTAGCTCTTTTTGTATATGTGTATATTCCATGGAAAGGTTAAGATGGAAAGAAAGGGGCTGGGGATTTAGCTCAGCGGCAAAAGCGCCTGCCTGGCAAGCGCAAGGTCCTGAGTTTGGTTCCCGGTACCGGAGGAAAACCAAAAAAAAAAAAAAAAAAAACAAAGATGGAAAGAAAATTCCATAAGATTGCTATAAAATGAAGGAACCAGGGCCCCAGGTCCATTAGAATGAAAATTAACCTTTGACATTAAGAGCAGGGTCAGACTGAAGGTAGAGAAAGGAGGAAGATGTAGTGACTTCCTTGTTTTGGGCACCGTGCTGGGTGCTTTACATGTTAACTCATGCGATCGCTTTAACCTCCTTTTGAACAAACCTGAGGATCAAAGAGCTATGTTATGTGTTAAGGGTCACAGAGCTACCGGTCATCACAGCTCGGATTTACACACAGCCACGATGCGGCTTATTCCAAAGTACAGGTTCTTCCTGTGAGATAAAAGGCCCATGGAAGCAATTAACCAACACTTCTTTGTCACTGTATTGAGGCACTTAGGCCCAGACTTGATCTCACATTTGTGCCTTCAAGAACAATCCATTCTCTCCGGGAACATTTCCATGAGAACATGAGCCAGGGAAACCGGCTGTGCTTACCTTGTTAGGAGAGTTGTCAGAGGGGCCCGGATCTGGGGAAGCGAAAAAAGAGTTACCACTCCATGGAAATGCGAAAAGGGCTTAAGGCCTTATGATTTAGCCGAAGGAGGTAGCAGGTGGTGGTTGTTGGGGGGCTGAGGGAGGAACCCCATGATCACTTAAGGGATTTGCTCCCCTCAGAATCTGTGGCCCAGACTAGGACCAGAGGAGGGGTGGGGAGCAGAGCCATGGGAGGCCTCAGTCCACCTCTGATTTCTACCAGTGCACAAGGCCTTGATTTTTTTCCCCCAGATGTGTCTCTTAGCAACATGCTCCAATGGCAAGGCGGGGCAGTGAGGGCCCATAGCACCCAGAGCATCCACGAGCCAAGGAAAGTCTCACCGAGGGAGAATGCCCACATCTGTCATAGAGGCAAAGGGGAAGGAGTAAAGATGAAGAAATGACTCCTGGTGCCTGTCTAGCTCAGGTGGAGTGAGCTTCTCTCTGGGCTGTGTCTCAGGGGACTCTTGTGGCTAGGAAGGGCTTAAGGACCTGTGTCAGCTTAGGGCGGGGAGATAGAAATCCCCTCACACACATTCAGCGTGGAGGAGTAGTTGGTGAACGTAGGGCTCTCTGCCCGGGTAGGGCACACGGTTGAACATTCCCGTTCTGACTGGGTGAGTGGCTTTACTTACTGTGGCTGGAGACTGAGAGTTTGTGCTCTGTGAGATCGTGCAGGTTGCTTGCCCTAAATAGATATCAGACACTGTGACTGCTATTCCCAAGTACAGGACCTTTGATCCCTGAGTTAGGAAGGACACCGTCAGCAGATAATTTCTTGGCCCTCCTTGATGTCCCTGCATTTTATGGTTGACATTGTCTTTCCTCTTAGGGCCTCATTCTTCAAGCTGACCATGACCCCTGCTGCTGTCTACCCCTTTCCTGTTTGCTGGACACGCACATTTACATCTCGTTTTCTCCTGGGTGCCAAACCCAGGGCAAACACTCTGCCGCGGAGCTACATCCCCAGCTGTGTAGATCTAGTCTTTGTTGACTCTGCTGTGCCTCCTTCACCTTAGTGCCTCTCCTATTTTGTTTTGCATGGATTTTGGTTTTCTCCCCGTTATTTTATTTATTGTCCGAGGGGATTTCGGTTGTTTCTGCTTTCTCTTCCTTTCCTTTCCTCTCCTGTCCCCCCCTCCTCCTGCTACTGTGGCCAATAGAGGAGATGACTTACTTTCCTCTGCTGCTTCTTTCATTTCCTCGTTTGTTCACCTTCTTGGACCTTGGCTTCCTGACTGGGGGGATAGAGGAACATAACTGGATCTGTTCCTCGCAGCTATGTGGGGATGAGAGTCGCCACGCCCAAGAGACAGTGGGACACAGGGAGCATGAGGACAGGAGCACGGAGACCCACTGGAATTAATGCTGAGAAGCCAGAGTTTAGGAAATTGAAGAGAATGTCCAGCCCAAAGACAGAGGTATAAAAGTCCTTTCCCTCTCCCAAGCACGGCAGCTAGCCTTGGAGGAAGTGGAAGAAGTAGAAAGGACATCCTACCCGCCAATCTTCCTGAAAAACAGGAAATATACCAGGGCGGCTATCAGAGCCACCCCTGCTACAACTCCAATCACGATGCCAACGATGGCCCCGACTGAGAGGCCAGAACTTTCTTGGGTTGGATCATCTGCCATGAAAAGAAAAGAGAAAAAGCAATTAAGGCGAAACTATTTTACAATGGGTACCTTGGGACACAATTCTTAACATGAAGTAGTCTCTATTCATTCCTTCAACAAATGCATTTTCTGTGGAAAGGCTGCTGGAGGTGATTGCCGGGCCTTGTAATTTTTTCCCCCTCTCACAGGTGATGTATCTTTCCGCAGTTCCATCCTGGCCTTTCTGTAGTCGTTTGAAAGCTTTAGAAATGCAAGAAAGCCTGACTGTTATTTTTGTACGTTGTAACTTCCTATCCTTTTGCGGTTCCGTCTTTGTTTGACAGGATCCTGGCTGTGGTGGCCATGAATATGTGCCTGTCAGCTTCCTTGGGGCAAGGGCTTTCGTGAGAGCAGGCTCAGGTTAGTGCACTCAGAATTCATCACCTCCTTTGCATAGAGACCATGCTTCCCACAGCGGTTAGCAGGAGTGGGGAAACAAGCCCGGTTCTGCAGGACACAGTTTTCCTCTGATGGGAGCTGTGGCTCGAGAACTCTCCACCAGCCTTATGCAAACTCTCAGAGACCTAACTGCTCTGCAGTCTGAAGCTTCCTTTTCTTTCTCCTGCACGCAGATCAGGTCCGAACTGTGGTTTGAGGGCTCTCCTGGGCTCCCTCTGTTAGGTAGATGATATTTCCTTTTATGGGTGACAGACTGGGCTTAGAGTGCTGAGAAAGCTTACTTAACTTCAGATGGCTAAGAAGAGGTGGATCTGGCTGCCTGACTTCGAGGCTAATAATGATAATACTAGTAGTAGTAATGGCAGGTAACGTCAATGCAACATTTTCTCTGCCTGTGACATTTTCCTGAAGGTTACTTAATACATTAAATATTTAGAACAATACCATGAAGCAGGTACTTTTATTACGATTTTCAATTGAGTTATCTGAAGTTGGAAGAAGTTAAGAATTGTATGCAAGTTACTCATAGCTGTAAATGCTAACATTTAAAAAAGATCTCAGGGCCGGGGATATAGCTCAGTGGCACAAGCGCCTGCCTCGCAAGTGCAAGGTCTCAAGTTGATTTCTGGTACCAAAAAAAATCTCAATTTAACAATCTAATATATGAATTAGGGATATAGAAAAAGAATAAACTAAATTGAAAGCTAGTGGGGGGCTGGGGATTTAGCTCGGTGGCACAGTGCCTGCCTGGCAAGCGCAAGGTTGTGAGTTCGATTCCTGGTACTGGAAAAAAAACAAAACAAACAAACAAAAAAGAAAGCTAGTGGAAGAAAGGAAATAAAGCTTAGGGTAAAGATAAATAAAATAGAGAATAGAAAAACAGTCTTGAAAAATTGATAAAACCAGAGGTTGGTTCTTCCAAAAAGTTGAACAAAAGTGACAACTTTTAACTAGATTAACCAAGAAAAAGGAAGAATCAAATTCCTAAAATTAGAAGTGAAATAGGATATCACTGTCAGTTCTTCAGAATAACAAGAATTTTAAGGGTATTATGAATAATTTTATGCTAACAGTTGTTAATTTAGATGGAATGGACAAATTCCTTGAAACACAGAGAGTCATGAAGAATTAGAAAATATGAATAGATCTGAATCAGTAAAAGCATTCAGGGGCTGGGGATTTAGCTCAGCGGCAAAAGCGCCTGTCTGGCAAGCGCAAGGTCGTGAGTTCGGTTCCCGGTATCGGAGAAAAAAAACCAAAAAAAAAAAGCATTCAATTAAATTTATTTTATTGAAATTAAAAAAAAGAACTACTCAAACTAGGCTAGGTGCCATAGCATACACCTGTAATCTCAACTACTAGGGAGGCTGAAGCAAGAAGACTGTAAGTTCAAGGCCAGTGATGACAACTTAGCAAGATCCTGTCTGAAAATGAAAAAAATTAAAAGGGCTGGGCATTTAGCTCAGTGGTAGAGCACCCTTTGAGTTCAATCACTAGTATTGGAAATCAAAACAAAACAAAGAAAGCAAAACAAAACAAAACAAACAACTCAACTGGGAATAGAATAAACTAAAAGACCATGTATGAAAAACCCACAGCTAAGGTCAGACTCAGTGGTGAAAGACTAAAAGTTTTTCTTCTAAGATCAGAAACATTACACAGATGCCTACATTATTCTATTTAATGTAGTATTAGACACCCTAGCCCAGAGCGAGGCAAGAAAAGGAAACAAAAGACATCCAAATTAGAAAGAAAGAAACTTATCTCCTTTTCCCAATGACAAGAATTTATAGGACAGAAAATCCTAAAGATCCCACAAAACTATTATAATTAATAAGCAAATTCAGCATTTACAGACTAACAAAATCAAGTGCAAAAATCAGTTGTATTTCTATATACTAACCATGAGCAATACAAAAGAAAATTAAGAAAAAAATCCATTTATAAGAGCATCAAAAAGAATAAAATACTTAGAAGTAAACTTCAAGTTGGCCGTGGTGGTACATGGATATGTACCTAGTACTCTGGAAGGCTGAGGCAGGAGGATCACAAATTCAAGTCTACCCTGGACAACTTAGTAACTTAGTAATACTTTATCTCAAAAAAACAAAACAACAACAACAAAAACACTGGAGATCTAGCTCAGTGTAAAGGCCCTAGGTTCTATCCTCAGTACCGCAAACCAATCAGTTTCATAAAGGATGTAAAAGACTTGTACCCAACAAAACCACAAAACATTGCTGAAAATATTTAAAAAGACATAACTTGGAGGTTAGTCTATTTTTTTTGGAAACAGAGTCTTGCTATGTAGTTCAGGTTGGCCCCCTCTTGCCTTACCCTCTGAAGTGCTGGGGTTACAGGTATGTGCCACCATACCTTGCCCATGTTTAGGTGTTGGCAGACTTAATATTGTTAAGGTGATAATACTACCCCAAATGATCTTTAGATTCAATTGAAGTCCTATCAAAATCTCAGTGACATTTTTAGCTAGTTGTTATGGTATATCCTATAAACCCAGCGCTCTGGGAGGCTGAGGCAGGATGATCACAAATTTAAGCCCAGCTCAGGCCATTTAGCAAACTAGTGAGACCCTGAGCAAAAAAGGGGCAGGGTGGTGGTGGCTGGAGATGTAGCTCAGTGTGAAGGCCCTGGTTTCAACCACCAAGAATAAAACAAATAAAAAAAAACAAAGAAACAAAACCCAGGGACACTTTTTGCAGAAATAGAAAAATCCATCCTAAAATTCATAGGTCATCTCAAGGGACCCCAAATACTTAAAACAGTTTTGAAAATGAAGAATAAAATTGAACTCACACTTCCTGATTTCAAAATCTAGTACAAAGCTACAGTAATCAAAACAGTGTGCTGCTGGCATACATAAAGATATATAATCAGTGAAATAGAATAAAAAGCCTATAAATGCGTGCTCACATAGGTGGTCAAATGACTTTAAAATATTTAAAAATATTAACTGCCACGTAAGAAGAACATGTATGTTTAAAAACACAGTACAACTGGGCATGGTAGCACATGCCTGTAATCCCAGCACTCGGGAGGGTGAGGCTGGAGGATCGTTGCAAGTTCAAGACCAGCCTGGGCTACAAAGTGACCTCAAGGCCAGCCTGAACTGTATAGAGAGACCCTGTCTCAAAAAGACAAAAAATAAATAAATAAATAAATAAATAATAAAACACGGTACAATGTGGCATTTTAGTATATGTATATAATGTGTGACAATCATATCAGGGCAAATGCTAGCTCTGTCACCTCAAACACTTATCATTCTTTGTGTTGTGAACATTCAAAATTGTCTTTGCTGGGGCTGGGGATTTAGCTCAGCGGCAAAAGCGCCTGCCTGGCAAGCGCAAGGTCGTGAGTTGGGTTCCTGGTACCGGAGAAAAACAAAACAAAACAAAACAACAACAACAACAAAAATTGTCTTTGCTACTTATTTTGAAGTGTGGAATTAGACACAGTCAGACATAGCTGTCCTGCTGTGCTACAGAATATTAGAAGTTATTCTTTCTATCCAACTGCACCCTTGTGGCCAAATGATTTTTAATGAGGGTTCTAGAACTGTTCCACGCAGAAAGGAATGTCTTTTCAATGAAGATGTTGGGAAAACTGGATGTTATGCAAACGAAAGAAGCTGAACCTTTTACCTAACGTCGTATGCAAAAATTAATTCCAAATGGGTCAAAGGCCTAAATGTAAAAGCTAAACCTGTAAAATTCTTAGAGGCACACACAGAGGAAAACCTGCATGATGATGGATTTGGGAGTGATTTCTTGGCTCTGATACCAAAAGTACAGACAACAACACTAAGAAAAAATAGATAAGTTGGACCTCATGAAAATGAAAAGCTTCTTCTTCTTTTTTTTTTTTTTTTTTTCCGGTACCGGGAATCGAACTCATGACCTTGCACTTGCTAGGCAGACGCTGTGCCGCTGAGCTAAATCCCCAACCCCATAGAAAGCTTCTGTACATGAAAGGATATTATCAACCTATGCTCTGGAAATTCCTCTTTTGGATACACATACAAAGGATTTGCAATACCCTTTTGGAGAGATAACTAAACTCCTATGTTAAACGCAGCATTATTCACAATGGCTAAGATGTGGAAACTAAGTGTCTGTTAGTACAGGAAGGGATAAGGGAAATGTGGTATATGTAAACAATGGAATACTGGTCAGCCTTGAAAAAGAGGGCTATTCTGTGATTCTGACAGCATGGATAAACCTGGAGACGATTACGTCAAGTGGGCAGTAGGGGAGGAGGGGAACAGGAAGTTGGTCAAAGGGTTCAAAGTTTCAGATGGACAAGAGGAATATGTTTTGAGAACTATATCACAGCAGGGTGATTACTGTCGATGATAATGTGTATTTCAAAGTACTAAGATGGTATATTTCAAATATCTTACCATACAAATGATAGATAAGAGAAGTGACAGATAAATTAATTATCTTGATTCAATCATTTTATATGAGACAAATATAAAAAAATCACACTGTAGACATTACAAAATGTATAAAATTACATCAGTTAAAAATTAATAATAGAAATAAAAAAGGCCAGGTGTGGTGGTGCACGCCTGTAATCCCAGCACTCAGGAGGCTGAGGCAGGAGGATCGCTGTGAGTTTGAGACCAGCCTGGGCTACAAAGTGAGTTCAAGGCCAGCCTGAACTGCAAGCAAAACCCTGTCTCAAAAGAACAAAAAATAAATAAATAAAAAGAACAAAGAAAAAAGATTATCAAGAAAGTGCAATGGCCACTTCCAGAATGGGAGAAAATATTTGTAAGTAATAGAGGATCACTGTGAGTTCAAGGGCAGCCTGGGCTACATAGCGAGACCCTGTCTCTAAAAACAAAATGATGAAACAAAACTACAATTGAACAACAACAAAAAGCCCCAAACAATCCAATTAAAAAACAGGTAACAGGCTTGAATAGCCATTTCTCCAAAGACCATATAAAAATGGCCAGTAAGCCTACGAAAAGATGTGCAATAGCACTAGTTATTAGGGAAATACAAATGAAAACCACCTCACACCCAGTCGGATATCTATCATAGAAACGCTAGTCTATTTGAGGGTGTAGATAAATTGGAACTCATGTCTACTATGGTTACTGGGAAGGTAAAATGTGCAGACACTGTGACACACAGTATAGTGGCTCCTCAAAAAAATGAGAAGAGTTTCTCATTTGGTAATTCTACAGCTGGGTATATAGCTAAAAGAACTGAAATCAAGGATTTGAGCAGATATTTGCATATTTACGTCAGAGCAGCATGATGAATAAGGAAGAACCCAAAAGTCTATTGGTGGATGAATGAATAAGCAAAATGAGGTACACCCTCTAAAGTGGTATGTCCATACAATAGAATACCACTATCTTAAACAAATAAAAATAAAAGGACAAAATTCTGGTATATATTACAGAATGGATAAGCCTCAAAGACATTGTACTAAATGAATTAAATCAGACACAAAAGAACAAATACTGTATAACTCCCGCAATGCACACAGACAGAAAGAATTGTGGTTAGCAGAGGCTGCGGCGGCGGCGGCGGCAGTGGGATGGGGAGTTATTATTTAATGGGTATAAACTTTTAGTGGGGTAAGATGGAAAACTTCCGGAAATGGATAGCGGCAACGTTACACAGCAATATGAACATACTTAATGTCACAGAACTGTGCATTTCAAAATGGCTAAAACAATAAATCTCATATATATTTTTACCACACAGCAAAGAAACTTTAACAGAAAAAAAAAAAAGAATCTGCACAAGGTCACAACATAAATGCCAGACTCAGGATAAGAAACTCAGTATGGCTGACTTCCTGCCATCCATGGGTTTAACCAACTAAAATTTGAAACTTTTCAGAAAAAAAAAATGGGTCCACCTGAAAAATGTACAGACATTTTTCTTGTCATTGATCCTTAAATAATGCAGCACAAGAATTACTTACATTGTATTGGATATTAGAAATAATTTTTTATTTTTATTTTTTATTTTTGGTACTGGGAATTGAGCTCATGACCTCGTGCTTGCCTGGTAGGTGCTGTGCCCCTGAGCTAAATCCCCAGCCCTAGAAATAACTTAGAGATGATATGAAGTATATGGGAGAACTGAGAGCAGTGGCTCACGTCTGTACTCTGGGAGGCTGAGGCAGGAGAATCACAAGTGTGAGCTCAGCCTTGGAAACTTTGTAACCTAATGAGACTGTCTCAAAATTTAAAAAAAAAAAAAAAAGACAAAGAAATTGTAAAAAGGATAGGGATGTAGCACGGTATGAAGGCTCCAGGCTTAATCCCTAGTACTGCAAACAAAAAATAAGCAAAAGTATATGGGAGAATTTGCACAGTCATATGTAAATGCTACACCATTTTAATATAAGGCATTAGAGTATCCACAGATACTGGTATCTGTGGGGCTCCTGGAACCAACTCCCTGTGGATACTGAGGGTTGACTGTATATTTGATTCAGACCCCAAGCTCTTAACCACTTTGCAAGTCTGTTTACGGTATTTGTATCTCAATGGATATATTCCCTGTGACTTTCATCCATTTTGCACATTATTGGTAGGGAAATCCTCCCCAGAAGATGTAAGAGAGGAAAAGTCACTCACAGTTCACTTGCAGGCTGAGGGGGTCACTCCTGCGGGAACTGACAGGGTTGGAGACCTCACACTGATACTCCCCGGCATCCTGTCGCTTGACAGGGTTGATGGTGAGGGTGCTGCTGTTCTGGGAGAGCTTCATCCTCTCTGTGAGCTGCAAACTCTGGTTGTTAAAGATCCACTGGATGGAGATTCCAGTGTCACTTGAGAGGCAGCTCAGGACCACGGAATCCTCTTCTGAGACCGTGGTGTTGCTGGCTTGGATGGAGGGTGTGGACACCAGCTCTGTGGACAGAGGAGGGAACCGACTGAGCGTGGGCCTGGGGCCCAGCTGTGCTCTTTCCTCAGATACTCAGCCAACTCTGGGAACTCTGTAAGGCGGCTCGGTGGACAGCCCTGACCCTCAACAGAGGTTATGTCTTGGTTCGGGTGACAGTAAGGAGAGGGCTATACCTCTTTCTGAACCCAGTGCACTCAGAGAAGTCCTTAAAGTTCCCCAGACCTCTCCGAAGGCTCCACATCAAGAACCTGTGCTCAGCCCACATGTCCAGACTCTCACTGCAAGGTCAAATATATCTTCCCATTGACCTTTTTTTTTTAAATTCGAGAAAGTAAAAGTGAACAGTGGGGCAGGGGACTGGCTTGGGCTGAGTAAAAGAGGAAAAAGCAGGATAAAAGACCACCGTGGAGAAGGCAGGCTGGACCATGGTGTGGGAAAGCCACGAGAGCGTCCCACTGACTTTCACACAATGTTTTGCCAGTGCTTCCTGTGACAATAAAAGTTGAGGTCCTTCTCGCCTAAAGAACAACTCAGTTTGAACACAACTTTTATTTCCTGGCCTGTGTATTAAATACCACAGTGAAGGAAACCAGCAGAGATAAACGGTCCCAGTGTTAACGGAAGGCTGACATCATTCCCTCTACAAATAAACCCCTTGGCCCTGCCCTTTCCTCTATGCAGGATCCACAGTGAAGCTCCCTGTGTCCCCAAGTGTGTGACACTCACTACTTTCTGCGGGGCGTCACCTGTGGTTGAGTCCTCAGCCTTGCACAGCTGGGACTTCAGAGCCAGGACACAGCTCAGAGGCGTCTGCCCTGCAGTGCATTTTTCATTTCCTTGCTCCCTGGAGAAGCTCAGATGGCCACTGGGGATATGATTTCGCAGATTCAGGAAGGCCTCCCAGACACCTTGCCCACCTCTTCTGTCCCCGCCAGGTAGAGGAAGAGCAAAGCCAGGCACTGGGTGAGACTGAACAGAGCGGGAGCAGAGCTCCGAGCTGCTGTATCCTGTCCAAAAGGGATTTCCTCACTTGGAGAAAAAGAGTGCAAAGGTGTTTTAAAGCCCCGTGGGTTCCTTGTAGCTCATGGAGGAGGTAAAACAAAACAGAGGGGACAGAAGGACGGAGTTAGTGACAGAAAGAAGCTACTTGACCTCAAAGACCCTTTTCCCCCTCTGGTCTGTGAATCTCTGCCCACTCCATGGGGCTTTCTGGGATGAGGGGAACCACCTCTCCACATTCCAGGCTGAACTTCAGCTCAGCTAAGAGAAAGCCGGGAAGCAAGGGGAGGACAGTCTCAGGGATGGGGCAGAATGCTCAGGGGAGGCTGGAGGTTTGCTTGGGTCTGTGGACACAGGCTGGGAATTGACTTCTTTCCCACTGTTTCCAGACAACCAAAAGACTATCCCAGAGGTTGGTGCTGTTCTTCCAGGGTGCACTTACCAGTGACTGTAACATTCTTGACTGTGCTCGTATTGAGGCCAGTGGCAGGGTTAGAGGCGAGGCAGGTGTAAGATCCGCTATTATTTGCAGAGATGTCAGGGATAGAAAGCTCCTGCGTGGACTGCAGGGAGCTCCCATTGAGAAGCCAAGAATACTGTGCAGGTGGGTTAGAGGCTGCGTAGCAGGAGAGGTTGAGGGTTGTCCCTGGATGGAAGTAGGAGTCTGGGGGTGATATGATGGGGGCATCCGGGCCATCTGGAGTAGACAGAATAAAGCCATACGTGACGTCATCAGAGGGAAGGGGAAGCTCCTGGCTTGTAGAAGGCCGAGTATCCCTCCGCATCATGTCACAACCTCATTTTTAGCAAGTCCCAACCAGGTTAGAGGGTGTAGCTCAGTGGTAGAGCACCAGCCTAGTTTGCCCAAGACCCTGGGTGCCAACCCCAGTACTACAGACACAGAAAAAAGTCCCAGTCATAAACCTCGGCTTTCACTGAGCCTGAGTCATCCACGTGTTTTTCAATCAGAGGCGGTTAAGTGAATCTCTGAAGATAAGAGAACACCCTCCCCTCCTGTTCTTGGCTGAAGGTCAGGCCTGCTGGGATGGCAGGGCCAGGATGGTATGGCCAGCCCAAGTGTCCAAGACTGAAGGCCTGTTTTCTGCACATGAGAGAGAGACTGGGTGGGCTGGCCTCTGCCTCTGGCCCTGTTTAATGGGTGGTTAGCTGGGACCATGGTAGAACAGAAGTTACTCACAGGAAACATTCAGGGTGAGTGGGTCACTTCGGTTGCTATTCGCTTCGTTCCACATTTCACACTCATAGGATCCCGTGTCATCTCTTGTGACATTGAATATAGTGAGACTCTTGTTGCCATTAGACAGCTGCAGCCTGCCACCACCTTGAAGGCTCTGACCATTTCTCCACCACAGGTAGGTTGTGTTCCCCATCTCAGGTTCACATGTGAATGCCACAGCTTCCTCACCCTCCACAGGGTTGGAGTTGTTGGTTGTGAGGAAGGGTTTGGGTAACACCCCTGTGCAGAAAACAGAGAGAAGATTGCGCTGGGCGGTGCTTTTGATCTGGGCAAAGGCGTTTGCACCACAGCTGAGCCCTCTCACCGCTCAGCCAGCTGGAGTCCTTAAAGGACCAGACAGGAGGGCGCCTCACAGGCAGACGCATGAGGACTTGAGCACTCAGACAACACAAGACAGCCTGCCCTTTGGCAGGGAAGAACACAGGCTTTTCCACGTGTGAACTGAGCTGCAGTACCTGGTCATGGATGGACCCCGAGCGCCTCTCCTGGCCTCACTGCCAGCGCCCTGGTTTGCCTTGGGTCATGTGGGTGCTGAGTCCCTCTAGCTGCAGAGACCCCCACTGCTCAGCCCTGGGTGTGTCCTCTGAGGCCTTGTTTCCAAAGCTGTCCTAGAGCTGGGTCATGATGGCACCTCCATTGTGCCTAAGCCAAGAGAAGATCCCACAGCCTGGCCTGAGGACGGCTGTGTGAGCAGAAAGCACACAAAGGGAACCAGCACCAAGCCTGGCATTGAGCTCAGTGATCAGCCTGAGGCCATGATGTGGGGAGATTCTGCTCAGGGCTTGGATGGTGACTGACATGCGCATGGGTCTAGTGAATGATCTAGGAAGGCTGAGGGGACAGCCGGACTCTGGAGAGCTGAAGCACTTTCTTGTCCTTGGTCTTTAATGTCCCTCTTCCCACTGCAGGGGGAAGATGAGGACCATGTGGAGCTTTTGAGGTTCTGGTCCTCATGGGCCACGTGGGTTTGACAGGTTTAGGGTCACAACTTCAGGTGTTAAATTTCTTCTGTATGGGAAAATTGTCCCTGCTACCCAGGATCTGAGTCCAATTCCTGAAAGGATTATCTCTGTAGGAGAAACGTAAGGTCTTAGGCCAAGCTCTGAAGACTTTCAGGGTCACATCTGAATCAAGACAGTTCCCGAAGTCAGTCCTAAAGCAGCCACTCCCTGAGTATGAGGCCTGTGAGCCCTGCTGGGTGGACAGACCTTGTCAGAGGGGACATCTGAGGAATCTCTATTATAAAGGGAGGCATGATAGCAAATTCCAGGAAGGTATGCATCCTATTAGAAAATTCAGAAGTCTATGTCCCCACTTGCTGCTGAGACTGAGGCAAAGTAGGCAAGAGCCCAACTAAGCATGTCAAATTCCTTCTGTCTGTCCTTTTGTCCCAGGGATCATAACTCGGGTTTTAGTAAATTCTTGCAGAGCAGACAGACTCTAACTAACATGACAGTGGCTGATGTATCTCAGCGTGTTAGTAGACCCAGTGTGATGATGTCATCATGGGGACACAGCCGTGTGAAGCAGGGAGCGAGCCCTTGAGACAGTGCTTGTCAGGCCGGCTTCCTCTGCAGGAGGCTGTGGGGAAGTGTGAAAGGAAGCGAGCCCCACATAGGGAGCAGGAGGGGGTCAGGAGACAAATGGGTGGGGCAAGTTTGGGGCTCTGGGCCTTGCAGCTCTGTCCTTCTCTGCCCCTGCCTGATTCAGCATAGAGAGAAGAGATGCTCGGCCCTATCCTGTGGCCCATGCTGCCCACTGCACCATGGAAGGAAGGAGCCCCGGAGCAGCACACAGTGGAGGCTCATCCACAGCGGGCGACACTGCCTCATGACAGAGCCCTAAAGGGTCAGCTGCTTTGGCTGATTTCTGTGACCTTTACTATTGCCCAGGAGCCTGGCCCCAGGTGTTAGTGAGAGGAAGCAGAACCATTGGCCATCGGTGAGGGAGGAAATGATGAAGAGGGCATGGGCTGTCCTTCCTGCAATGGCGGGAAGGAAGACGAGGGACAGAGAAAGAGCCAGAGAGCCGGAAATGCCCATGGCAGGGAGCAGTGCAGTTTCAGTGACTTCAAAGACACCAGAGACCAGGAGGGCCTGCCGCCTCCGAACCAAACAGAACAGACCTGCACACCCTGCCCACAGCCGAGCAGTGCCAGGGTCATCATGTGAGGGGACTCCTGGGGCGGCCTTAGGAGCAGGAGGTCAGAGGAAGAGAAGAAGGGTCTCAGCCTCTAAGAAGGACAGGCAGCTAGTGTGGCTAGAACCTTCCAGGACGCGTGTGCAAGTCCCCGTCTCTGCAGGGGTCTGGGTCACTCACGCATTCGTTCCTTCACTACTCATTCTTGCCCTCATTCATCACGAAACTATTGAATGGCTGTAAACGGCTGTGCTGGTTTCATGTCCAAGTAGGGACTGAGGGAGCAAAGCCATCGCTTTGAAACTCCAGGAAAGTGACGCCCAACACATCAGGAGAGATAGGACTTCAAGTCTAGTGAGGGGGGCTGCGGATCAGTGGCCTGAGAAAGGAGCCTGAACATTGTGATGAAGCAGGCGATTTAATTCTAGAGTAAAAATTGATTAATTCTACATTTGATCTCACTGCTCCACGCGGACTCTCTCTCAGTGTGTGAGGACCAGGATTGACAACCATGAATGAAAAACTGGCCTCTGGTTCACAGACCTCTAGCAAATCTTCCAGGATGGAGAGGACAGGGCTGAGTTTATAGATAGATCCGTAATGCCTCTGAGGTGCTACCATGGCCTGTGTGATCCTGGCCCAGGAACCCTATTTCTTTGGGTCTTATTCTCTCTGTTATGGGATACATGGGAAATGGCATCTGGTTTGCAAAGTCATTGGTAAATTGACCTGAAATATGCACAGTTACCTGACACTGGCGTAGAGAAGTTGCCTAAATCAACAGCATCGATTATGTGCCTCCAAGACAGAATGACCTGGGACAGTTCCCGGTGGACAGGGAGCTTCGAGGACTCTTTTTCTCCTCTGTCCTCCCCCTTGGGCACACTGAGCTTCCTCTGGAGGCTCGTAAGTAACTCAAGTGAGCTAATGACCTCCGTCCTCTGCCTGCCTGCTGTCTACGCCAAGACTCAGGGGAAAGAACTGCCCGGGTGTCCTCACCCAGATGTGGCTCTTGGGGCTGTGCACTGCCTGGGGATCAGCTCTTGGGACTATGAGATTCAGACAGCCAATGAATTATTGCTCCCCATCGTCCCCAAACAGTGGATCAAACTCTTACCCTCAGCACAAACTCCCCAGGACCAGTTGGAGAGAGGAGCTCCAGACAGAGGTCTGAGGCAGGGCCTTCCCGGAGTGATATGAGCACCCAAGAGTCCCACAGGGCAGGCCCTGACTGAGTTCCTCCGTCACTCTCAGGGTCATGTGAATAGCAAGGGATTTGGGGGCTGGAAGGAGAGGGTCTCCCTGGGTCAAGTTCCTCCATCCAACTCTCCTTCCCTCTGCAGGGCGGATTCAGCTGAAGGAGTCCAGTCTACTGAAGTTTAAGTCCACTGTATGTGCCCTGCACTACATGCTTAAAGCCCAATGGGGGACATGATGTGACCGGGTGGGGACACCACCCAGGCCTGACAGTTTTGTGTGTGTGTGAAGTGGAATTCACCCCATCCCATGCCTGGAGGACACTCAGAATAACTTACGGTATACACGGAACTGTCCAGATGCATCTTCACTCCAAAAATTGTCCTTTAATGCTTGTAGGGTGTAGTATCCCGTGTCCTGTTGGGTGACATTCCGGAGCAGCAGGGATCCATTGGGGTATATTGTCTCTCGGTCGCTGAACACAGGCCCTGGTGTAGTGACCATAGTGCTTATCACATAGGCTGCAATCTCTCGGCTGGAATCACTCCTCTCGCCTTTAAACCACTTATAGCCTATAGTGTTCTGTGGCAAATTGTGGACAAGTAGAAGCACATCTCCCCCTTTAGCAACACTGAAAGGCACCAATTCAATGGCCAGTTGGGCAGTGGTGGGTGTAGTCTGGAAGGTTAAAAGTGAGGCTGGGAGAGAAAGAGAGAGAGAAATTCATCAATACCGGAAACTACATGGGATGGCAATCCGGGGTCCTGCGTCCTGAGAAGATGTTTCATTTCTTAGTGTTAATGTTCAGTTGTGTGTGTGTGTGTGTGTGTGTGTGTGTGTGTGTGTGTGTGTGTGTTACTAGGCTGAGGTCAGCAGCAGGACTCCATTCCTTCAGTGCCCCTGAACTTGTCCTTTGCTCTGTTTGGAGCCCTCTTCCCCAGGTGTCTGCTTGGCTCAGGGCTCGCTGCCCTCAGGTCCCGCTCACATTCGGGGCAGCCCGGGGAGACGCCTTCCCTGAGCCCTCATGTGCAGACCTGGGTCTTCCATTTCTCTCCCTTCCCTGCTTTCTTCCCTCTGCAGCTCTGCCCAACCCCTGACTCCCCCTTCTAGATGGCCTTGCTGATCCCTTTTCTTCCCACCAGGACAAGAGCTCCATCAGCACAGGGACCCGGCTGATCTCTGTTGCAGCCCAGGGTGTGGAACAGCCTCAGACACCTGTGCATGAGGGAGCCAGGACTCCCGGAACCCCGCATGTCCAGGGTTTGTTTGCCAGTTTCTGAGGCTGATGGGGTACAGGGCCTAGTACCCCAGTTCTGTTTTCTTTGGAGAGCCATGTTGACATTGTCGTGAACCTCAATTTTCAAAGTGTAGTGGCCGGCCGGGAGTGGTGGCCCATGTCTGTAATCCCAGCACTTGGGAGGCTGCGGCAGGAGTTCAAGGCCAGCCTGAACTGCCTAGGGACACCATGTCTCAAAACAAAGAAAATTTGCCAGTGATGATTAACTTTTACAAAATTGGAGCTTTTCCTCCTCCTTTTTAGTTCCCATCCATTGAGAGTTTCCTGTTACTCAGCTTCTGTTCCTCTTCTGTGTCCTGTCCCCTCCTGCTCCAAACAGAAACCTCCATCCACTCAGAGCCTTGTCCTCTTCTCGGCACCCGGCCAGTCTCTATGTGTCCATCCTCCCACACATCCCCCAGGGACTGTCCCCTCTCACCTGCAAGCAGGAGCCCCTGCCAGGGAGCACATCCTCCGTGGGAAGTGGCTGAGCGGGGCTCCATGGTCTCTGCTGCCTGCTCTGTCCTC